AGTCCCTATATATCTTCCGATTTGCACGAAATTTGACATAGCGTACTGAATAAGGTCTACAATGATGTGTGTTAAGTTTCCTGGAAATCGGTCTCGACTTAGATGTAGCTCCCATATATATTTTCTACCGATTTGAGCTAAATGGTCCCTATATATCTTCCGATTTGCACTAAATTTGGTATAGCGTACAGAATAAGGTCTAGAATGATGTGTGTTAAGTTTCCTGGAATTGAAATTGGAGATATAGCTCCCATCAAGGATTTAGATATAGGTGCCATATATATTTTCGTCCGATTTGATGGAAATGGTGCACCAAAGGCCCTATATATCTTTCGATTTGCACGAAATTTGGCATAGGGTACTAAATTACGTCCAGAATGATGTGTGCCAAGTTTCGTGAACATCGGTTCAGATTTAGATATAGCGCCCATATATATTTTTGTCCGATTTGATGGAAATGGTGCACCAAATTTGGCATACTGATTTGTGTCTAGAATGGCGTATACCAAGTTTCGTGAAAATCGGTTCACATATAGATTGGCTCCAATATATATTTTCGTCCGATTTTATGTAAATGGTGTACCAAAGTCCCTATATATCTTTCGATTGGCACGAAATTTGGCATAGTGTACTGAATAAGGTCTAGAACAATGTGTGCTTAGTTTCGAGAAAATCGGTTCAGATTTAGATATAGCTCCCATATATATTTTCGTCCAATTTAAGGTAATAATGTGTGGTTAGTTTCGTGAAAATCGGTTGAGATTTATATATAGCTCCCAAATATATTTTCGTCCGATTTGATGTAATTTAGAAACAAATATTATTTTTCAAATATAATTTTTTCTTTTCAAAATTTTAATTTACTTTTCATAAAAATTGTTTTTCAAGAATTTTTCAAATTAATATTTGGATTTAAAATACGCCATACACAAAACCACGTTTCAATAATAGTCGAGGTAAACCAAAATTAAAGACAGTCGATGAGACTGAAAATAAAATTGGTGCAACAAGGGAGACAAATGAGCGCATGGCCCAATTCCGTCAGACTGTTTCAAATGAAAAAAATACCCGGAGACTAACACGATGGCATTCGATTACTATGCAATTTTAAAACTGTGGGGATTTTTTTCTTTTTCTGTTGTGGTTTTGCTGAACAGAGATGAGTAACTATCAGCACAACAAAGGCTATGACAATACTCAAGACCATTTCTAGTGGAAATTCGAAAACAATTTTGAAGTTTTCTTTCGCTTTGATTATTTGAGGAAACAAAACCCATTCTAGAGTAGCTCCTAGAATTATGAAAAAATATATTTCCTGATTGTTTTCAAAAATTCTGCAAGAGCCGCTGGTTGAGCCCTCTTTTCCTTTATTAGGTCGTTGTCTTTGTTTTGTCATTCGTAGTTCGTGCTCCATGTGATAGCATGTGATGATGATGGTGAGGATGATGATGGCAATCTATTTTCCGGATTCTGTTGTTTCTATGTTTTCTTCCATTATTTTCGGGGGTTTGTTGTGCTTTCTATTTACAGAGAGTGTATATGTATGTGCTGCACCACCGCCTCCACTCCACCCAATCCCAGCTGCTGGGTTACGCCAAAAATTGGGTTATATTTTCTTTGTTTTTCATTTTCCCCGATGTCGTTGTTGTTATTGTTTGTTTTTTTTTGGGCAAACTATTTTTACTGTGTTTGTTTTGTTACGGGGGTTATTCTTGGATTCACTTCGCCGAAAAAAGGGTTGTTTATATTTCGATATCAAATATGCTAGAAATAGAAAATAAAATAATTTTTATAAACTATTTAAAAAAAAAAAATAAATAATTTTATAAAAATAAATATCCTGAAAAAAATGTTTTTGAAATATTTTCTCAATTTCAAAGAAGACTTTAAATTCACGAATTAAAAAAAAAAAAAATCTAATTTTTTCAACATCTTAAACAACAGCCTTAGTCGCGAATTTATGTTTATTTATACCATTCACCACACTGTGGTACTGGGTCTTATGTCTTTGTGCATATGTTTGTTACATGCAAAAGGAAACGAGATAGACACCAGGATTCCTTTTGAGAATATGCATAGAATCGGTTTTTAAGTCGATTTATTCATGTCCGTCTGTCGGTCCATGTTAAATTGTAAATTAAGTACAGGTCGCATTTTTGTTTATTTAGCCCAAGGACGAACCCTATTGAAAAATCGGTTCAGATTTATATATAGCTCCCATATATATTTTCGTCCGATTTAAGGTAAATGGTGCACCAAAGTGCCTATATATCGTTCGATTTGGACGAAATTTGGCACAGCGTACTGAATTAAGTCTAGAACGATGTGTGTTAAATTTCTTGAAAATCGGTTCAGATTTAGATATACACAATAGTCCCTATGTGTCCTTGGATTCGCACGAAATTTGGCATAGCCTACTTAATTAAGTCTAGAGTGATGTGTGTTAAGTTTCGTGAAAATCGGTTCAGATTTAGATATAGCTTCCATATATATTTTCGTCCGATTTTATGTAAAAGGTGCACCAAGGTACCTATACATCCTTCGATTTGTACGAAGTTTGGTATAGCATACTTAATTAAGTCCAGAATGATGTGTGTTAAGTTTCGTGAAAATAGGTTCAGATTTAGATATAGCTCCCATATATATTTTCTTCCGATTTTATGTAAATGGTGCACCAAGGTACCTATACATCCTTCGATTTGCACGAAATTTGGCATAGCCTACTTAATTAAGTCCAGGGTGATGTGTGTTAAGTTTCGTGAAAATCGGTTCAGATTTAGATATAGCTCCCATATATATTTTCGTCCGATTTTATGTAAATGGTACACAATAGTCCCTATGTGTCCTTGGATTCGTACGAAATTTGGCATAGCCTACTTAATTAAGTCTAGAGTGATGTGTGTTAAGTTTCCAGATATATATCCATATATATTTTCGTCCGATTTTATGGTACACAAAAGGTGCACCGAAATTTGGCATAGCCTACTTAATTAAGTCCAGGGTGATTTGTGTTAAGTTTCGTGAAAATCGGTTCAGATTTTGATATAGCTCCCATATATATATTCGTCCGATTTATGATAAATGGTGCACCAAAGTGCCTATAAATCGTTCGATTTGGACGAAATTTGGCACAGCGTACTTAATTAAGTCCAGAATGATGTGCGTTAAGTTTCGTGAAAATCGGTTCAGATTTAGATATAGCTCCCATAGATATTTTTGTTCGTTTTTAGGTAAATAGTGCACCAAGATCCCTATACACCCTTCGATTTGTGCGGAATTTGGCATAGCGTACTGAATTGAGTCTAGAACGATGTGTGTTAACTTTTGTGAAAATCGGTTCAGATTTAGATATAGCTCCCATATATATTTTCTTCCGATTTTATGTAAATGGTACACAAAAGTCCCTATATATCCTTCTATTCGCACGAAATTTGGCATAGCCTACTTAATTAGGTCTAGAGTGATGTGTGTTAAGTTTCGTGAAAATCGGTTCAGATTTAGATATAGCTCCCATATATTTTTTCGTCCGATTTTAGGTAAATAGTGCACAAAAGTCCCTATGTATCCTTCGATTCGCACGAAATTTGGCATAGCCTACTTAATTAAGTCTAGGGTGATGTGTGTTAAGTTTCGTGAAAATCGGTTCAGATTTAGATATAGCTCCCATATATATTTTCGTCCGATTTATGATAATTGGTGCAGCAAAGTGCCTATATATCTTTCGATTTGTACGGAATTTGGCATAGCGTGCTGAATCGAGTCTAGAATAATTTGTGTTAAGTTTCGGAATAATGTGTGTTAAGTTTCGGAAAAAATGAACAGTGCGGCGTACCGAATAGCGTGTATCAATTTAGCGACAAATCGTTTTCCATAAATTTGTCCCATGGTAAGCATTCGACTCTAAATCTGCACGAATGAAATTAAATTTATCATAGGTTGCAGAAAGACATGAGTATGTTCCTTCGAGGGAACATTAACGTGCAATTGTAAGGATACATATGTACAATATACCCAAAGTGACGAAGAGTATCATATAGTCGGCCCAGTCCGACTTTACTACTTTTCTTATTGGTTTTTCTCTTAAAACTAATTATCTTGTATTTTTGTTTTTTGTTTTCTTTTTTCATGTAAATTGGTATTAACCTGACCTGTGGATATATAATTGCTGGTGCTTTGTTTTGATGACGCGATATTCCCTATTCAAAACCCATAACAAAAAACCCTAAATCCTAAAAATCCAACGTTCACTTCCTTTTGATGGTTTTGTTGGCAATGTTATTTTTGTTGTTGTTGCGGCGGCTGTCATAATGCTATTGCTGCTGGCGAATGATGGATTCCATGAAAACACGCATTTATCTCTGTGTACACCTTCCATTCTATGCGGGCTGTATGGGGTAATTTCTTTTGCTACTCACACTTGGGTTCCCCCGATGGCTTGGATATGATGACGATGACAAACGAAAAATTAGGGCAACATAAGAATAAGCAGCAAAAGAAAATAATAAGTAAAGAAGAAGAAGAATAAATATAGCAGCCGGAAAAGAGTCAACCCATTCAACGAGACAGGCAGACAGCCAACAAACACTGAACTAAAGCCGCAGCCGTGCACTCACCAAATAGACATACAGTCAGTCGGCCAGCCAGCCAGCACTCACTGACACTTCACAGCTACATAACTTAAATAAAAACAATAACAAAAGGAAGAAAATAAAGAAAAGCACCGGTGGTGTCACTTTTCTTGACGTTTCGGTCCCCAAGAAAACAAAAACAACAACCCAATTTGCTTGTTTTTAATAATAGCCGAAATAAATTAGAACACACGACAAAACAAACAAAAAAGGCAAAGACAAAGAACAACAGAGAAATAATTCAACTGACAAAAAAATACTAAAGAACATTTTTTTATTTACTGGGTTCCCTGAACAGAAAATAAAAATCCCCCTGAAATTGAAGCACCTTAATTCTTGGATTCTAACAACAACAAAACACAACCAACAAAAATGGATTCATTAAAACTAACAAAAGGTAAGTCAATCAAACATTCTCAAAATAATATTCAAATTTCAAACATCATTTCAAATTCTTCGTTTTTCCTGTTTTCTCGCAGGTGGTTCATCAACGAGCTCATCATCTGCCAATAATGCTGCCGCCACTTCATCCACTACCACCACATCATCCTCATCAACTTCATTGTCAACGTCATCCGCAGCAGCAGCCACCAGCAGCACAAATAAATCATCTTCGTCGGCGGCAAGTAGCTCCAATAATAGCAGCAGTACCAGCACCAATACCACAGTTCCAATTACGGTGCGTTTTAATGCCGGCGATGAATGTATCGATGATCTGTTCCAATCATTTCACAGTTCAAATACTTCTACTACGGGTATTGGAGGAGTTGGTGGTGGCGGCGGCGGCGGTGGTTCGAATACAAATCTATCGGCAAGTGGTGGTGGCATTGATTCGCTATCGACAAGTCCTTCGTCACAGCAACAACAACATCATCCAACTTCCTTGAATAATGTAAGTATGCCAAAAATGTATTTTTAGAAAATGTCTGAGGGTCCATAAGGTAGTAGTCATAGGCTCCATAAGGTAGTCGTCACCACACTGTGGTACAGGGTATTATGTCTTTGTACATATGTTTGTAACAGGCAAAATGAAACGAGATAGCCCAATCGTTCCTTTTGAGAATATGCATAGAATCACTTTCTGTGTCGATTTATGCATGTCCGTCTGTTGAAGTTAAATTTTAAACAGGGTACAGGTCGCATTTACCATCCGAATTGGATGGAATTTGGCACAGCTCATTTATTTGGCCGAAGGACGAACCCTATTGAAATTGGGAAAAATCGGTTCAGATTTAGTTATAGCTCCTATATATAATTTCGTCCGATTTATTGTAAATTGTGCTCCAAAACCCCTTCATATCTTTCGATTTGCACGAAATTTTGCACAGCGTACTGAATTGAGTCTAGAATGATGAGTAGTAAGTTTCGGAGAAATCTGTTCAGATTTAGATATAGCTCCCATATATATTTTCGTCTGATTTAATGTAAATGGTGTACCAAAGTCCCTACGTATCTATCGATTTGGACGAAATTTGGCATAGCGTAATAAATTAGCTATAGAATGCTGTTTGTTAAGTTTCCTGAAAATCGGTCCAGATTTAGATATAGCTCTCATATATATTATCGTCCGATTTAATGTAAATGGTGTACCAAAGTCCCTGTATATCTATCGATTTGCACGAAATTTGGTGTAGTGTACTGAATTAGGTCTAGAATGATGTGTGTTAAATTTCCTGAAAATCGGTTCAGATTTAGATATAGCTCCCATATATATTTTCCTCCGATTTTAGTTAAATGGTGCATCAAAGTCAGCATATATCTTTCGATTTAAATTAATCTCTGGCAAGTCTCGTTGAATTCGGTTCTGTTTTAGATATAGCTTCTACATATATATTTTCGTCCTATTTTATGTAAATGGTGCACCAAACTCCTCATGTTTATCAGATATTTATCCAAATAATCAACGGGTGTCCGATTGATATTTGCTTTAAATTGATTTTCATAATTTTGTCCCAAATGAAAAATTTAGTTTAGGTTGCTGAATGTGTTTATGGATCCAATTTCATGTGAATGGTCCTTCAATATAAATGTACGAAATTTGGTGTAGTGTACTGAATTAGGTCCGGAATGATGTGTGCTAAGTTTCGGGAAAATAGGTTCAGATATAGATGTAGCTCACATATATATTTTCGTCCGATTTTAGTTAAATGGTGCATCAAAGTCAGCATATATCTTTCGATTTAAATGAATCTCTGGCAAGTCTCGTATATGTCTTATGAAACCTTATAAAGTTTTATTTGAACAATGTTAAAGTCTAGGAGAAGCAAAAGGGCCTCTGAAGGCTAATTTTGTTAACAATGGAGGACCTATGGAAGAGGTTATCTGTCCAATGACTGTTCTCTTTTTTGATAATGTTTATGCTTGTTTATTTATAGGAGGTTTCTTCCATATATAGAGAGATCTCAAAACGCCTTTGGAAGGGGTGAGGCCCCTCTTAGGGCTTCGGGCCATGCGGAATCTCATAATACCGCAAAAAAATGCTCTAATGTCTAAATGCCTTATACGTATATAGAGGGACCTCCAAAAGCCCTTTTTTGCCAAAGGTTGCATTTCTAGTGAATGAGGTGGCGGCAGCATTATTGACAGATGATTAGCTCGTTGATTAACCATCTGCGAGAAAAAATAAAAACAATTTAAAATGACTTTTGGAAAAAGAGGATAGTGCTCGGGGAATATTTATTAGGCTTACCTTTTGTTAGTTTTAATGATTCTACTTTTGATTGTGTTTTGTTGTTGTTTCATATCTAAGCGTTAAAAAAGAGCTGAAGATTAAATTTCAGGGAGGTCAGGGAGTCCAAAAAATGTCTTCAATATTTTTTGTCAGTTTAATTATTTCTCATTTTTTAGTCGTGGTTGAGCTCAAATGGATATTTTTCACCTCTGAGGGCGTTCTCAAACACGGTGTAATTCTATAGAAGGATTGGGCTTTAGAGAAGTTTTGTTTGGCCATAGAGAAGCTCTCAAAGACGGGTCTTAAATTTCTATTGAAAGCTTCGAGGCCTATTGTGTCCGTAGACGGTGATAAGAATTTTTTCAATCAAAAGAGGGACATCCTAATGTTTTTTTAATAACTTCTTTTTTCAGACATGGAGGAATGCTCATGAGATGACTTTTATGTCTTAAGGAACCCAACAAATTTTTATCTGAACATTGTTTAAGTCTAAGAGAAGTAAAGAGGCTCTGAAGGCTAACTTTGTTAAGAATGGAATCAATTGAGATAGATCGCCAAAATTTTGCATAGAGTCATCTTTGGTCTGCAGGTAGGCCAAGTTCAAAGATGGGCTATATCGGTCCACATTTAGGCATAGCAGAACTCTCCACAAAAAAATTATGAATATTGGCAAATTTTTTCGGATAGGCCCCATATAAGGGTACCCCAATTTTCGGTATTTTGGGGTTCTTGAGCGGAAGAGGTTTTTGGTGTTATAGAAAACTCTGTCCAAAGAAAATTCTCTATTTTAACAAAGTTTATGAGGTGTTAGGGGTTTTAGAAGTTTATTTTTAGTTTTTTTTTTTATGATATATTATCAGTGGAAGGCCCTCTTTCAATTGTAATCAAAATTTTGAGGGCCCTTAAAAGGCCACAACGATATTTTCTATGAGAAATTTGAGGGTCTTTGCAGGCTTCTTTTTGAAATCATGAAGGACTTCATTTGGATATTTCCTCTATCGGTTTTATAGAAAACTCTGATGCCTCTTATTTCCATAGACAAAATAAAGTTTATGTTTTGAAGGGCTACCGAAGGTTACTTTTTCCCTGACCTGATTTTGTAAATAGACCTCGGGTTGCTAGTGTATATTTATTGAAGGCCCCCAGAAATTTTTCGATAATATGATCAACAGAAAACCCAAGAAAGTTCTTATATCGATTGTAGATCAACAAAAGTCACTCAATCTTCTTGATGGCCTCAGAAGCATCTTCTTCAACAATTTGAATTATTCAAAAAACCTTTGGGGCCTCTTCTAGGTTTACTCTTTAATTTCAACTCTCCTCTATATATCTATTGAAGGTCGTCTCAGGAAGTTTTGTAGTCTTAAATAGGACATTTGGAATTTGTATACCCTCCACCATAGTATGGAGGGTATATTAATTTTGTCATTCCGTTTGTAACTCATCGAAATATTTATTTCCGACCCTATAAAGTATATATATTCTTGATCAGGGTAAAATTCTAAGACGATCTAGCCATGTCCGTCCGTCCGTCCATCTGTTGTAATCACGCTATCTTCTGAAGGAATTGAGATAGGGTGCTGAAATTTTGCATAGGGTTGTCTTTTGTCTGCAGGCAGGTCAAGTTCGAAGATGGGATTTATGGGTCCACGTTTCGGTATTTTGGCGTTCTTGAGCTCGTTTTTCAACCGAATACGCTGAAAATTGGTACATTGAGTTCTTATTGGGTACTAAATGTCTCCACAAAACTTTCTGGTAGCCCCCATATAACGGTACCTCCCAATTTTCAGTATTTTGGGGGTTTTTATCGTATTTTTCCACCGAATTGGCTGTAATTTAGTATTTTTATTTCTTAATAGGTACCAAGTCTCTCTACAAAAAATTATGTATATAGGTACATTTTTTCGGATAGTCCCCATATAAGGGTACCCCCAATTTTCGGTATTTTTGGGTTCTTGAGCGCGTTTTTCAACCGAATACGCTGAAATTTAATACATTGGGTTCTTAATAGGTACAAAATCTCTCCACAAAAAATTATAAATATAGGTCAATTTTTTCGGATATCCCCCATATACGGGTACCCCCCAAATTTTCGGTATTTTGGGGTTCTTAAGCGTTTTCTACCGAATACGCTGAAATTTGGTACATTGAGATCTTAAAAGTTTCCAAATCTATCCACAAAATATACGAGATAAAAAATTAGAACTTAAGGTTCGACAATGAACTATAGCCACATTTAGACTTAGTCCCTGTGTGGAGGTTTCAGAAGGAGTGGACCGATATTCCCCATCTTCGAATTTGAATCAATCAAAAATTTCTGAAATTTGTATTATGGTTTAAATAATCCGTTTTTAGAAATGTCTGTATAGGTCCACTTTTTGATATGTTCCCTATATTTTCATTTCTAGTACCTGTCAGTATATCTATGGTGGAGGGTATCCAAAGTTCGGCCCGGCCGAACATAACACTTTTTCACTTGTTCTATTTTAAAAACCTTTATACCGGCTTTTAGACACGAGACAGATTGTCCACTGAAATTGTAATTAAATTACAGGACACAGTTGTAGACCAATTTTCACAAAATTCTCCATGTAGGTCCGGTTCTGGTTCAATGATAATCCATTTAATTTTTGGGCAACAAATATAATCGGAATATCACGAAACTGTGCACGGCGAAGGGGACATGACAAATGAATGTGTAAAGATCGCTCAATATACAGCCGAATTTTCGGTTATTTGGCATTTTGAATTCTCATTGGGTGTAAAAATCTCACCTTCACTCTTTTTTATTTTTATTTTTTTTTAATATTCGCATATAATTCGCGATTAGTTTAGTTTTAAGATATTAGTTTCACTTGTTGCCTCAATAGCAACACGTTTTACGATTATTACTATTGAATGTGGAGGAATATGAAATGCTAACTAGAATTTTACCCAACAAATACAACAATGCTTGCAATAATAATATTGAATTGCTTGTCATCTATTTTAAAATGAAATGCATAGTTTGTCACGTTTTCTTGTTGGTGTGTTTTTGTTTTTGTTAGTCACAACGTTTTTAGAGGAGTTCCCTCTTAATATAAAATGTATATTGGTGGGATAAAATATTGCTTTACAATAATTGTGTTCAAAAAGGTGCTTAAAAATTTAAATTTCGAATAGTCGTATATATTTGGACTGATTGTCTAAAAATTGTTATTTTTTCTTTAATAATTAATTTT